CACTTAGAAAAGTGGAGGGCCTTTAAATTTGATTACTTGCCACTTCAAAAAGGAAGCGCTTTGAAATGTTCAGTGTGAACTCATTTTGAATATTAGACAACATAAACGGACGTCAGTAGACCCTACGGAGAACCAACGGGGGGTCATGGAGCTTACGCAGCACATGTTTATCTAATGTGCATATTTAAAAACATGAGAGCTATCAAAGTCTGCGACACGAGGTCTTCTGGCGGCGGGCTAGGATGTTTTCATGCAAACATTTTCTCTTTAATCTAATTTTCAGGGAGCTGCTTGACTCAAATGATGGATCTAACTAGAAATGGTGCAGTAAGAACCAGCACGATGTGGCCCAAAGCAGGAGCCATCAGTGCAACCTAAATGCCACTATCTTATTTGCATAACAGCAAATGTAATTAATAAGACTTAGGGAGCTATGTACCACCAGTGTTTTATTTTAAATTTATGAATGGATAAAATAATTACAAGGTAAAATCCTTCTAATTGAGTTTTCCTAGAGTAATTGTTGTTTTGGAAGCAGGTTGGAGGTTTCTGCCTAGTTTGACTAAAAGCTTGTGTTTCCCACATATAACAGGCCAGGAGTCTTATATCACACAAGATCTTCTGCTGCTCATCTTATTGCACAATTAAACCTAAAGAGCATCACTGGATAAAAACTATTTCCACAAATCAATAATTGGGTTTTCCTTTTAATAAAACCTACGGTAATCATGCTGTATAATGTGACACGTGAATCACTTATCAGTGTATAAACAAAGACTGTTTTGCTCATCACAAGTGGATATAAAAAYTTTGTTATATGTTGAAGTCAAGCTCAGAGTTGAGTTGAATCCCCAAATGTAATTTTTCTTCTATTTAGAAATCAGGGCTGACCCCAGCCAATTTGGCACTCTAGGCAAGACATCAGGTGATGCCCCTTGTGCAATTTTCTAAACCAGTGGTTCCCAAACATTTTGTCTTCTGACCCACAAAMTATCCATGGCAAAAACTTGTGACCCCAAATATTACTGGTCTGAGTACATGAACTTTGTTAATAACCCTACAAACACAGGCTTTTTGACAATCTAAACAGCTAGTACACAAATGTAAATACTTATCTATACTTATTTTGGGTTTTTGTAATAATTATAGGGAAGATATTACAGCAGCAGTTATTTTATTACCCTTTAAATTGATTTCTGGAGATTATCCAAGGTGCTTCATGACCCAAAATTGGGTCCCAAGCCCAACTTTGGGAACCAAAGTGCAGTGGTTCCCAAACTTTTCAGCTTTTGACCCAGAAAATAACAGCAGCAGAGACCTGTGCCCCCAGATATTTTTGGATGATAAACATTTGTGTCAGGTCAACTAAACATGGGCACAGTAACAATATTTATTATACTACATTTATCCATTTTAAATACACTAACCTCACTCCTTTGTAACAACTATGGCAAAAATGTAATTAATTCAGAAAATCTTTTCAGGACCCCACCTTGATGTTTCGGGACCCCACTTTGGGTCCCGACCCCAACTTTGGGAGACACTATTCTAAACCACACTGCCAATTTACATACTGTACATACTACAAAAACAAAAAAACCCAAAGTTTTGTCTTTGATATATTATATATGTATATATTTTAAATTTTACAAACCAGRTTGACCAATTAAAATAGTTAATATAATTCATTTGAAGCAGAACACCAAAAGTCTACCTGCCAAGATTTGCTGACAGCAGTGAGGAACACCTGTTCATGTTAACAAGCAGCTGTGGAGCGAAGCAATTCTAAGAGGGTCCAAAGAAATATTTAGTAAATTATACTCAAAATTATGCAATGTCCACCCATTTGAAGAGCGTTTTACTAAATTCTTGGGATTAATTAAGCAACATAAAACCAATATTTTATGGAGGTAGAACCCTGAAAAACTAGATTTTAACCTGGATTTTACAGTATATGAGATCATAATTGGGTCTTTTATTATCCTTATTTTGTTTTCTATCTAAACACTGAGCACCATGAGTTAGTTTTGACTGCATCATAATACTTTTATCCTCTGCACCATGTAACACCTCACGTAAAACAGGCTGAGAACACAGAACAAGTTACCTTCATAAACTTGAGTWAGCAGTGATTAYTCYACAGACTAAWTCAACTATACTCTGATAAAAAGCTCTAAAAGATTTTTTCGTCTCCCATTTGCAGYGCYTCTAGATGGACGGCACCCTTAGCATTTGCCTATACTGCCTTTGTTAGAAATAAWTAACAGTTGTGGCAACAAAACTTTTACAGTAAAAAGGAATAAATGATCCACCAAATGTCACTGCCAGACGGAAACCTTGTATCTATTTTCAACATTTTTGTGTTGACAAAAAGTGCTGCTGGTGCAGATTTCTCAAACTCAGTAGCACAATCAGAATCCATCCAACTCTCGATGTTTTCGGAATGCCTCTGGCCCATGAGCGGCATGTTGGAAAAGCTTGGACAAAAGTGCGAGCTGAAAAGTTTAAATGACCTGCAAATGGACAATCTTCTGCTCTGCCCTGCTGTGGCCTGCAAGCCTGCGCTTTTCTAAGTGAGGTGGAAAAGCACAAAAGCCACATTCAATCTCTCAGTGAGTTAAGCAAAGCCTGAAGCTCAAATGGGAAGCTGTGCTGAATGAGGAAAAAGGCTGTAACAGATTTCAGTTGCTGAAAAAAAAGGCTCTGGTTTTGGAAAAGGTAATGATCAGAGAGTGCAGCAGGATGGAGGAGGGGATAGCGGGCAACTCGAGGCGCTTGCACGGAAGCTCAAAAACCGAGGTGGGTTTAGAGGGACTGCAACTTCACAGCCAAAGAAATAAGCGAAGCTCTCCCACGTCATCTAACTGCCATTCCTCTGACCTCCCACTGCTACGGCTGAGTACGTTACCACTCTTGTCCGYGGAGCTGCTCGCCTTGAACTTGCAGAAAGTTGGATTGTGGAMAAAGCGAGATTGTTCTGTAACACAGAGCAAGACAGTCTGAACCCAAATTGACTCAAGGTGGTAATTTCAAACATTCATCATCTATTCAGACAGAAAAATCAATCAATCAGGCATCCCAAGGCTCTGGAGAAGTCAACAAAGCTCACACACTCGAAAAACTGTGTTAAACATCAAAACAAGCAAATAAAAGGGACGTACAGAAGGAGAATGTCGAGGCTCCTRTCACAGGAAACAAAGACAAACTGTCATGGGAGGAAGGGAACATGGTGAATGATACACTGGGAGGAAGGAGAGAGTTTGATCCAGATTGGAACGGATCAAAAAGAGAAGATAGAAGAGCAAAAAATTATTAGCTGGAAAGTACAGCAGGTTAAGCTGTTTTGGTTTTGAAATGTAACATTTTAATGGTTTGAGTAAATAGGAAAAAAAAATACAAATATCCAGTCACCTAAAATAAATTTTTAGTTTCACCCATTATTCCATAGTTTTCGGTGTACAACTGGACATCACCACCTTTCTTGGCTGCAGTCACTTTGTTCTGCACTTGGAAAGTAAAACCTCCAGCGCCGTTAAACACACCGGAGTCTTTTCTCTCGTGTTTTTGTGAAATTAAAAGTGATGAAATCGGAGTCGTTGGACCGAGCCGCGAGCGTTCACACCTCTGGGATTTGCCTACGCAGACATTTCTACTGTGTAAACATGCACGAGATGTCAGTGTGATATTTCTGCTCAGACAGTGTGTTGCCTCTCAAGGCCCCGCTGCTTGGCCTGGAAAGGTCCTCACTGCCAGGGAGAGAGGGAGAGGGAGAGAGAGAGAGAGAGAGAGAGAGAGAGAGAGAGAGAGAGAGAGAGAGAGAGAGCTCTGCATCAGCGTAGCTTTTTCTTGGCAGTGCAGTAAATATCTGTATGACAGGATCTATGTTAACGAGGCTTTAGCCGTCAATCAACACTTAGTCCTGCTGCTCAAAAAACAAACTCTCAAGTAGCCGAGAGACAAAGTCCACAGTTTTCCTGAATATGTATGAGAGTTGGCAGAGGGGCATGCCAATATCATTTAGCATGTCTGGCTGCATTCATGCAACATTTGCTGCACAATGGAAAACAGTGACAAAGAAAGGAGGCAGAGAGAGCACCGAGTTGGAGAGGCAATATAACAGATTGAGGTTTATTGACGCATCACTTGATCGTTTGCCGATCCCGGCTGAGCCAGGATGCTGCCGGCTTCTTAGCTCTGCTGTTTTGTTGCCGCGCTAAAGTCAGCAGCTCTCTCTCTCTCTCTCTCTCTCTCTCTCTCTCTCTCTCTCTCTCTCTCTCTC